CATGCTTTACGAGCTATCTAAGTACTATACAGTGTTAATTACAAATTACAAGTACAGTGATGATGTCTTAAAGAGAAATATAAAACCGTATTTGTATTGCAATTTCATGGAAATTATTACCAGTTACACATATCTAACCCTGTTAATTCTAAACTGGAAAACATTCCTTGAAAACGATAAGCAAAATTCAGACTTTGGTAGCGTAAATCTGTTAATAAAATAAACCAGTGGTATATAATTTAACATAACCATTCTTCTTTGCTGCTGTAGTAATGATATGCAACTTAAACACGTAAAACACTTACACACGTATATCACCTTTGCACGTCATTCACATAAACACGTAGTTCACTTATACACGTGTATCACCTATGCCCGTCATTCACATAAACACGTGGTTCACTTTTGTATGCGGTTTACCCTTTACACGTGGTTGACTTGTAAACGCATGTAAAATTGGTTACGATGATTTCTTCTTTCAACGATGACATTTTGATTCCATCGCTTTATTTAATAAGAGAAATACACAAAAGTTATTTAAAAAGGAAAAACAAAAATATCAACGGTATTATCAATCGCATGATCGGTCATACATGTACAAATAAAGACTATAACAATGCAAAATAAAAGATGAAATTGTTGACTGGAATGGAACGTTACAAGTAACGTCAGGGGAGACAACGTGTCACGTCAACCAGTCAATGTCTCTCGCCGGCTCGAAAATTGCAGCTCAAACGTACATAAAACCATTTGATGCAGCTTTTGAATATTATATCAAAGGGACATTAATTGGACATGCGAATGAAAGGAACGTGTATCTCGCTAATAAAATGGATAACAGCTATGACAGATTTACTGAATTAAGACTCGATCTGACATTCTTTTGACATTTCCAACTTTGGTTTGTTTGAAGCTTAAGTAAATGAATATGGTTTTATCAATTTAAAATTTATATACTGAACTTTTATAAGCAAACATTTTCACGACTAAAATATAAAATGATAAGAGTTTTTGTTACTGGAATCTTGCGTGTACGTATATCTTTTGGAGAGGTCAATATAATCACTTAATTTACCACAATCACTTAATTTACCACAAATTCAACTAATATGCAACGAAAATGTCATTCACATATCACCATTCCCTCTACATTAAGTAGCACTGGTATTAATCTAGAATGTTCTAAGTATCTGGGAACCAAACATTTGTAACCGGATCTTACTGAGTAAATCTTTCAGAGTAAAACAGTGTCTGATACATTTGACGGGAAGATTTTATCAATAGTGACCAAATTTAAAAATACATTATCAACATCGTTGTAAGGAGACTACCGTCAATTCAACACACAAATATATGCTAACAGAAATGAATGCATGTAATCGAAATACAAGGTTAAAATATATAATTAATTAATTAATTAATAATAATAATAATAATAGTAATAATTTATAATTAATTATATATTAACTACTTTAGTTTCTATGATTTTTGACTGAATGTCTGGAAACATGGCCGTGCACCCAGTAAGTCTTAAACCCACGACCCCTCGATGTTAAGACAGATACCCAGTAAGCTTCGTTAATCAATGGCATTTCCTTCATTAATTTATGACCATAAAGGTCCGTGTGTTACTGCACCATACTAGAACTTAGTCCCTTAAATACTTTACAACTGAGTTATCTGTCCCTGTAACTTTATTAATGTGAAGCGCCAAAGGCATACGATGCCGCCTCAAAATGGCACACTTTTTATTCATAACAAATTTGTGCACAGATTAGATGCAGAGCAAACAAGTTTCCATGTGGAATAAAGAACAGAAGTACATGATTCCTACCTGAACTTTGAAAGCTTTTATTGTAAATTAAGTTATAATTCTAGAGAAGTCGTTGAACAAGCGAAGGTAAATTGCTCTAATTCGACTTGAGAGACATAAACCTCGTTTTCTAATTTTGTTGGTGACAGTTTCATGAAGGCTATGTGGCTTAATATGTTTTATACCACTCTGATAAATCCCTTTCTCGACATATATTTCCTCACTGTTAACAGAGGGGTAAATTTGAATTCACAATATGTACGGTCTTCGTTCAGAAAAAACAAAAAAACAAAACACGAGCTCTGCAAAAATAAACTGATATGTATTTTTAGCCACACACAGCATTAACTGTAATGTCTAACTCGTCTTATTCCATCCTCTAAAAATAATCAACTATTTAAAGTCGGCACTTGGGACAAACAGAATTTCCCCGATCACTATATTACTTTCCTTAATTGATATCCGTACTTTCATAAGACGATTATTTTAAAAGTTAAAAAGTAGGAACGAGGTGTAAATGGAAGTTTAGCTTGATACACGATTTTGCATTTTAACATCTTTTACAACAAATAATTTGTTTCTGGCTACTTGTGAGCTCAAATCATTTAAAACACTAATGATATTTTATCGACATCATTGAAAACAAAGAATGGTGGAATTTATGTCAATATTCTTAAGACAGTTTGTCAATTTAAGATTCTTTCAAAGGACCCGTACAAATTTTGGTTTCTTTTACTCTAACATATTTAATAAGATATTCTCATTAGAATTGTATTGATCAGAATTATTTTAATTTTGCCAAATCTTAAATTAAAGAGAGAGCATCGAAACACGAGGTTATCTGATTTGTACGAGGGGACGTAGCCCCCGAGTATTTATCAGATTTGAGTGTTTTGATGTTCTTTCTCTTTTGTATCATAGTCGAACATAAAAACACGTTCCCTGTTGTCACAATATGAAACCCCAGAAAAAAGGAACCAATGGACGAGCATCTGAATATGATATTTCTCTCGCTTTCTCTTTCTCTGCCGTCACAATAAGTAAACTCCAGGCAAAATTGAGCCAATCAATGGGCATGCTCTGGAGTGCGGGTAACTTATACCTGCACTCTAGTTAACGCACTGTGCATGTATATGTAAACGATTTAACTCTGGCATATTTTCAACAGAATTGTTCCCAAACTATGATACAAATGAATTTTTAAAGCTAATATTTTACAAGGTAATTCGATGAACGGAAACTTGGTATACACATTCGGTATGACACGCGCTAGTTTCATTGATCCATGTCTCTTTATAAAATATATGTGTAAAAAACATCTTGTATGATGTTTTACATTTATTACATTTGGCTGTTAGGACAGGAATTTAAACATAGCAAAATATATGTAAAGAATAAATGCGCAGAAATTATATTTACAATACGCAGCGACACTTAATTTATCTAATTTTTGAAAAGAAAGAAAGTACATAAACATTGTACACATTTAGGATTTATAAAGTCTGCACAACCCTTTTGCAAATGAAAGTCTCTCATTCATTTCATACTTTCATTTAAGCATTCAAAGTCCAGTGAAAAATGATGAACATTAAACGTCTAGTGGCTTTATACTATAAGTCATAATTGATATACCAAATAGCCGACTGCTCTTAAAGAACGAAAGTTATTTTACGTTATCAAAGAGTATTCTAAAGTTACATTCTAATTTCTCAATTCCCGAAGCTCCCACACATATGTTCTGAGCCCAAGTTAAAAGATTGTCTAAAATTGTGAGATTTAAGAGGTAATTGTATATATCACTACTTAAATTTTTTGCCGATTGCGTAAAATTGAAGAAAGAATGAAATTTTTTTTATTATTTTTTTAAGAAACCAGAACACGCTTGCTTTTCTCATATTTCAATTGGATAAAGTACTTAAATTCACAGTTTGAAAGTCATTTGTCACATCTTTTTGATCTTATAATGCTCAAAGTTGAAAATAAGCTCGACTGTATTGTTCAAAACAACGAGTCTGTATCAATAACATGTTTAACAGACTGGTGCTATTTTATTACACACATTGCATGTGAAGCTGCTTTAAGTAAAATTATTTCCCAAATGATGTAAGAAATTATGTCCATTATGGCGGGATTCAGCAACTATACACATCGTAAAGAACACGTAGAATAAGAGTCAATGGTGTCTCGCACACTGTTATTATATGGGGCCATATTTATTGTATTGTACTATGGCACGATAATGTTACCTAGGAGGGTAAATGTTGACTTTTGTATGAACTTTTGAGAGATTGTTTTTAACAATAATAAACAGTATTAAATATTCAGTAAGATTTACTCTATTATAATTACATAAAATGTGCTACACTGATCAATTTTCAACATATTTTGAAAAGGGTCCGAACGCTTTACTCTTTTCTGCACGTATTTTGAATAGAATATATATGTCAGTTCACAGACTCACACAGATAATGAATGTATTTGAGCCGCGTCACGACAAAACCAACGTAATGCGTTTGCGACCAGCATGGATCCAGACCAGCCTGCGCATCCGCGCAGTCTGATCAGGATCCATGCTGTTCGCTATCAGTTTATCTACTTGTTATAGGGTTTGTAAGCGAACAGCATGGATCCTGATCAGACTGCGCGGATGCGCAGGCTGGTCTGGATCCATGCTGGTCGCAAACCCATTATGTTGGTTTTGTCGTGACGCGGCTCATTTATGTTTTTATTAGAGATGTGTGAAAAGATAGATTTTACAGTTGTTGAAGGAGAGACCTTAGACTTACATGCAAATGATTTCTTTATTCTGTGTTTTAACTTTAACATTATAGTTGTTATTTATCAAAATTAGGAATACAAGAATAATGAGCAACAAGCAAACAAGTCATATTTGATCGGAGAATAAAATTTACAACACGAGAATTTTAGAAAATAATCGTAAATTAGACACATTTCAAGTGGGGAAATTAAAGTCGCGACGACTAAATTACCATTCTAAAATGACTTTTAAAGTTTACAAAAGGAGGACTGCAATATATTTTATTCATAAAATTGTTTCTGGTTATTATTGGCAATGTAAAGATGGTTCTTTTATGTGTTTGTTATTCGTGAGTAACATGCAGTATTTCTAAACTTAAGTTTTGATAAGTCTATAACTGTTTATAAAATTATTTAAAAAAATACTTACAACAAGATGTTTCGTCCTGTTTAAATCCCAAAGAATTAGTACAATGTATTAATATCCTATAATTAAGTCAGCACTGATAGCTAGTTATTTATATGTCCTCGAGAAAAACCGAAATATTTGTTCTACTTTTAACACTGACTGCTATATAACACTAAACATAATTTACAACAAGTAAACCTTTTGTCGCATCGAACGTTTATTGGCTATCAGCGGACAGATATTAAAATGTCGACAAAATGACCTATCGCCAGCAAATGACCTGACATTAATTTGTCCGTAAATAATTTGATCATAATTGATAAACCTTCTAAAAGTTACATGGTAACAGCCGGTGAACATTTAGTCGTTTGATAGCGCGTTCATCTCATTATATTCACCATCGTCATAATACAATTTGTTATCTTAACACTTTCAAAATCAATAGTAAGTTGAAATGAAAATTGTAAACTAAGTCAAAGAGTTCAAATCTGCCGTCTTAGTAACATTAAGAAGGGCTGTCGGTAGGACAATGCGCTCAACTATTCACAATGCTTGAAAGTAAAAACAAGAGCCCGGTTAATTTAAAAAAAAATATATGTTCAAAAGGGTCATAATTCTATGAAAATCAATGTTTGAGTTATAGGCCTTGGGAAGTGACCCCCTATTGTGTACTCAAATAAGTTGTGAAGTTTCAACCAGTTCCCTTCCCTGAGTACAACTTGCACGCTAAAACTTACCCAAAAGTATGAAGCCGACGCCGATGTCTAGGTGAGTATAATAGTTCTCTATATTTCTCGAATAGTTGAGCTATTTGGATTAATACAGTTATCTATTGGCTTTGACCCAATTATAATTATGGATTTATATAAACATTCTGTAGAAAATTGCGGTCAATGTTTTCTCTTTATCAAAAATGTATTTCCTTACGTTCCGTGTAGTATTTCAGAAACTGTTGTGGTTGTATATTTTCCAGTTAATGTAAGGTTAAGCTACGCTTAATTTACACAAAACTACTCAAATTCTAGTGTCAATGTAACAAACTCTGATTAGCAGATAAAATGCACTGGTAACTGTTTTAAGTTGTTGTTTTTTCTTTTATGTCAATCTATAGTAACAACGCAAAAATCACCTACATATATATGTAAAAGTATTACTATCTTAGTTGCATGCTTAAATAGACTATCATTATATAAAATTATTCTTTTTTCTTGATTGTCTTTATATGATCTTCATCAATTTTCGATATAATAATTAAAGTACATTTTGTGTATGCAAAATTCTAGCCATTTTATGCGACACCTCCAGAGATACTTTAGTCATTTTGTGGAGAATGGTAAATTACGTTAATTCCGTTTCATGTTATAGCGCATGCGCAGATTGACGGTTGAGGTTGTCATGACGCCAGGTGTTTTTTCTTTTTAAATGAGAATATGAAATTTTAGGAAATAAAAGCGGATAGCCAATGGTACTTCAAAGAATTAATATCTTACTACTTATGTAAATATTAATGTTATACAATCATCTACTATATAATATAATATATCCCGTGAATTTCTTTGAGACAGGTACTTTAAAAGAGAAACAAGTTTTTAAAAATAATATTGAAACGCAGTGACAAATGAATAGCGAAAAATCCGTACTTGAATGGTAATCCGTCTACTTCAAAATAAATGAAAACACAAAATCCACAATAATTCCCCCTTAAACGATAACAATATTTGTAACAGCACGAAAAATGTTCAGCAAAAGAGCCTCTTAAAATTGTTTTATCTACAGCTTTATTATACTAAATTATATGAAAATACGGCTTTTATATACATGTGTGTTTTTCAGTTCTATTTTTGTTTTACAGCACATTTTGGTATTTCATAATTTTTTATTCAAAACGGCTGATATATAACATACCCGGAATAGAAAACGGTGAAAAAGCATTCTTCAAGGGATGAAAAAAAATGTTGATGTATAACAGTTTTAGAATAAAAAAGGGTGTTTTATGTTCCAATATCAATAAATACTTGATGTAAATCATTCACATTAACATATAATTTATGTATACTCTATCAGGACTGTCCAGTATATCATTTATAAGATCAAATTAACAAACAAAGCACCCATATAAATCAGGCACATAACATCGCTTGTTTTCTATGTTATATAACTGTTATGGTTATATTTCCTATATTACGCACGTGCAATATAACGTCTTCGTGACGTCACTTTAACTTATTCATTTCATAAGAAACATAAGATAACGGAATAAAAAAGGCGTTTTAATGCGTTTAAATATGTGATAAAAAATCACACTTTTATTTTCACGTAAAATTTTATTAAACCCGTCCAAGAAAAAGTTATGAAAATCGCCAGTGCCTGCGTGTTGCTGTTGAAAAACACTTTCGTGAGCTCGTTTAATATTTTTTTCATAATTAATGTCAATGGATAATGGATAATAAGGAAATGTTGATAATCAATTTTTAAGTCTTGAAAATTTTCGGAAAATTTTTTCGTTTTTATAACTTACAATTACTCTTTTTTTCGTAACTAAGTGAACAGGGGGGGGGGGGGGGGGAGCTAATTTTATAATTTGACGGTTTAGGGCTGAAACGCAAATTTAGATTACATACTTAAACAAGAATAATGTTCCCCCAGATACGTAATTCATTCCGCTGAACAGACAATAAGTTTTTATCACTCATAAACAAAAATTAAAACAAAGGGCATGTTTGGAAGAAAAAGAAACATTAAAAGAAACTAGTAGTCTGCG